GATTTTTTGTCGCTCGAATGTTTCGCTACAGCCCCTGAGCCGGGCAGTGCCTGTCCTGAGTTAATTCTTTGTTACAGGAGTTTTCAGGCTGGTGAAGTGACCCCAGCGTTGGCTCCTGGACGCGGGGCTGTGGGAGCGAGGAGAAGCCTCCGGTAGGTTTTGAGCTCACTGCTTCCCTTGGCACGAAGCTGCTTTCTGCCCCAGCTCCGGGGGCACCCAGGGGCGGCTGCTGCACCTGCTGTCGGGAGCTTCAGGCTTTAACCCGACAAGAGCGTAAAAAGGGAAAAGGCAGGAGAAAAAAAAATGAGGTTAGGGGGTTTCTGAATTTCCAGGCGTGTACCAGGTGAGGTGTGGATTCTGGAAAAGGAGGTTTTTCCTCCTTTCCTCTGTCCTGGGAGCTGTCTGTGTGCCTAACCCAGCAGGCGTGGGTGGTGCCCTTGCACCCGGTGGGCGCAGTCGCAAGCTCTTGTGATCCGTGATCCCACGGCGTTGTTGCTCGTGTCATTTTTTGAGAGAGCTCATGTGAAAAGCTTGACATAACACCCGTCACCGGGCGAGGTGAAACCCTTGTCATTCTGTTGATGTTGAATCCTCGGCGTGTGCTTTACAAAGGCGCCGTGACTCGTTAGCTGTGTCAGCACAGCGCTGACGAGCGTTGGCAGTCCCGGAGTCGACGTCTCCGGAGAGGGAGCCTGCTCGTCAGCGCAGTGACAGGCTGCCTGCCGCGGGAGCCCTGTCGCCCTACACTGAGATTTCAGGCTCTGGACTTGTTCAGACCTGACTCGTCTGCTGGCTCACTGGGGAGTGAGTCAATCAGTGTCGTCTGAGCAGGGTTTTCTTCTGATGAATGTCGCTTCCCATGGATACCCGGCCTGCCGCAGATGGCCTGGCCGCCATGACCTCTCTCTGTTTGCTCCTGCTCGACCTGCAAACTCAGGAAGAGGCTTTAACCTCCCCTGCCAAGCACGGAGTCATTCAATCTCCCGCTTCCCTTTTGCTAAAAGCACCGTTTGTGCAGCCCGCTGCACAGAAATGGTGACAGTGATTAATACTGTCAGCCCTCAGGGGAGACTTCAGCCTCAGGAATATTCTGTATTAAAATTAATTTGCCGCTCCAACAAACAGGTATCCAATTATTTACCTTGTCCATCACGGGTGGGGCTGTCAGCATGGCTGGAAGGGTTCAGCGTTAGTTCGTTACTCTGACGCAGTACAAAAAAAAACCAAACCCTGTGAACGTTGGAGAGCTCTAGGTTCATTTCTGGTTGATAAAAAGCCGCCGGCTCAAGACCATATTCATTTCTCGTAGTTAAAAACCAAAGACTTGATCCTTCAGTTGGACTCGGGTGGATCTTATTGCAGGATGAAGTGGTTTGGGTGTGTCACTGGGGGTGTTTCACGTGAAACCCCTAAAACTGGGCTGTGCTGGTTCTGGTGGCTGGGTGCTGTTCTGCACAGCTTAGGCTCATGCAGGAAAATCTCTTTTACTCCTGTTCGCAGGTGCTGAGCCCAGGAGCTCCCTTCCCCTGAGGTCTGTCTGTCCTGTCACTTCCCGATGTTCCCACTCTAACAGCATCTGGAGGGACCCCCCCAGCTGCCATCCGCAGGGTCCTTGGCCGAGAGTGTTCAGGGGAAGCAGGATGAAGATAGTGGTGGCCAAAGTGCTGTGTCTGCTGGGCATCTGCGTCCTCATGCTGGCTGGCTCCCTCCTCCCCGTTAAGATAATTGATGCCGATTATGAGAAAGCTCATCGCTCCAAGAAGGTTCTTGCCCTCTGCAATTCTTTTGGAGGAGGGGTCTTCCTGGCCACCTGCTTCAACGCCTTGCTGCCTGCCGTCAGGGAAAAGGTAACTGCTCACAGGTGGTTTTAACGAACCTGTGTCACTACGTCAGGGACACCTGTGCGGGGGGACCACCCCCCCCCTCCTGCCCTGCCGCTGGACCCCCGTCCCTGTGGAAGTGGGGGGTCCGTGCCTCGCCAGAGCGGCCCCCAAAGCCTCCCCAGAGGCGGCAGTGGGGGGCTGGTGTTTCAGACCGTGAGGGCAAGCTGCACCCACCTCGCGTTCAGCTGCCACTGACTGTCCGGGTGGAGTAACTGGGGATTTTTTTGATGCAGAAGGAGACTGAGCATCACCGGGGGTGTGAGGCTCAAACTCCTGCCGTCGAGCCTGTGTTTAAAACACTTTGAGGCAGCCGCTAACCTTCCGCTGGGAGGGAACCAACTTCCCCGACTCTCATGCTGTGTGTAAGGGTGTTAGAGTGTCACGGACCAATTTAGCGTCCGCTTAGAGCTGTGTGAACACGAGGAATATTTCCCTTCGGAGGGACAGAGGTGATTGATTCACTGTGGATTGTTTGCTTCCTTCCAGCTCGATGAGGTTCTCAGGCAGGGGAACATGACCACGGACTACCCGGTGGCTGAAACCATCATGATGGTTGGCTTCTTTGTGACGGTCTTTGTGGAGCAGCTCGTCTTGACCTGCCAGAAGGAGAAGCCCTCCTTCATCGACTTGGAGACCTTCAACGCTGGCTCAGACGTGGGGAGTGACTCTGAGTACGAGAGTCCCTTCATCGCCTCTCCCCGCGGGCGCACGCTATATGGCGAGCACGGCCACCACAGCCACGGCCTGAACGTGCGGGAGCTCTCCCGCGCCGGCCCCCTGCGGCTCATCGGGCTGGTGTTTGCCCTGTGCACACACTCCATCTTCGAGGGGCTGGCCCTGGGCTTGCAGGAGGAGGGCAGCAAAGTCGTCAGCTTGTTCCTCGGGGTTGCCGTTCACGAGACACTGGTAGCCGTGGCGCTGGGCATCAGCATGGCCAAGGCCTCGTTGCCGCTGAAGGATGCAGTGAAGGTGGGCGCGACGGTGAGCCTGATGATTCCGCTGGGCATTAGCGTCGGGATGGGGATCGAGAGCACCCAAAATGCGGCCAGCAACGTTATTTCCCTGCTGCTGCAAGGCCTGGCAGGGGGCACTTTCTTGTTCATCACCTTCTTTGAGGTCCTCGTGAAGGAGCTGGAAGACAAGAACAACCGTCTCTTGAAGGTTCTCTTCCTGGTGCTGGGCTACGCGGCGCTGGCTGTGCTGGTCTTCTTCAAGTGCTGAGCGCGGGAGCAACGGGAAGCAAACCTCGCCTCCTTCCCTGGTGAACGGCCCCGGAGCCGAGCCTCCCTTGCAGCCACAGGGACACTGGGGCCCCCGGCGAGTGACACAGCGCAGCCAGGGGGTATTTCCATGTTGACCTGAAGAAGGAGAATTTCTTCCTTTGTGCTCAGAGAGAGATAAAAACGAGGAGTGTCCCAGGGCAGGTGTCACAGGGTGGTGTCCCTGCCCGTCAGATCTGTGGGGGCAGTGGCTTGCGTGGAGATGAGTCCAGACAAATGTTC